CAGGGAACTTCGAAGGCTTTTCTTTTAAGTCTTTCTCGTGGCTTCAGAACTTTTAACATTTAGATTTGCTCGCAAAAGCTATGTGCAGCCCAATTATCTGGTTACGGCTGGGGTAAAGTCATTCGTTCGCGTTGGAACCTATCAACAAAATCCCTGAGCAACTCTGTATCCCCTTGTTTGATTTAAAGATGTCCTCCATTCTTTTTTCAACCTTTTGTGCTCCTGAGTGCGCCTTAATGAAAGAATCTGCAAGCTCAGCAAAAAGAGTTTATTAGAGTTATTCAGGCAAAAGAGAAATACCAGGTTAGTGCACCCTTGGTGAGTGTTTCACCAAATTTCTTGACCAACACGGACCTCAATCTCCTGTTTGGTTAATCATTTCCTTGACGCCCTGTAGTAAATGCCGTACACATGTCACGTGGATCGGTTGTGCCGTCATATTTTTGAAAATGTCAGGCATTTTTAAACTTTTTAGTGGATTGAAAGGGGAGCAGCACTCGGCGGGTTTTCCAAGGTTGTTGTGAATATTTATCCGCATCTATTCCTTTGATTATTGGGGGAACTCCAGGGATTTGCTCGATGCGTTCGTTTTGTTCTTTGAGCTGTGTCTGCAAAGTTAGTACCAAATTTTGTAAATAAGAATTATTTGTATTACCTGGATTCATTTCTCGTGGTTCAATGGGGGTTCCTTCGTTTGAATTAACAAGGCCAGAACGAGGATTCTCCAGCATATTGTTATTTGGCGAAGGTGTGGACGGCGCAGCAGGTAACCGGCTAACTAGCGCTTGAAGAGCTTGGCTAACCCGTGCATCAATTATTCTTTGCAGAGCTTCTTCTGGTCCCTCAAAATGTTCTGATTGCTCTTGCTCATCAGCATGTGATTTAGGAGTGCCTTCACGAGATTGACGTGGTGAATTTTGAAGGGCAGGAACCGCGTTAAAGTTCTGCAAATCTCCTTGATCTTGATGCATTTGATTTTCACGGTTTCCCAAGGTGTTGTCACTGTTATTATTGTCATGTGACATGATGATAACAACAGATAGACTGTAACTTAAAAAGAATAGATTATCAGATTCCCGGTAACGGAACCAATTTGTTTCACCAAAGAAATAATATTTTGGATAAAACTAGAATTTGAGATGAAAAATCGGGTTACTGATAATCAAGAGACCAAAATAATAATAGGCTTTCTGAGAATAATAATAAAGCAGTAAACAAAATTTCTTATTTCAGTATGATGTAAAATGATATCCTTTTCCCAATACAACTTCCTCCTTTTATAGTTGATTCTAGGTAAAGGAAATAAACCTAAGCTTTAATGAGACAATTATGGACAATAAATGACATTAAATGAGCCGTTACACAATCATTCCTATTAAATACCCATTTTCTAACGTATCAGGTATTTAATACTGAATTTGGACTCCTTTTTGTCTTCAGATTCATGTCTTCAATGCCTTTCGACCCACTGGCTTTAAATGACTTCGAATTGGTACGAGACACGTGTCTAAACTGCTTCTCGTGCCTATTTCACTTCTTCTTCCCGTACCTGTCATTTCCCGTACCTTTTTCCCAATTGTTACGCTTTGACCACTTGTCCAATCCACGTGTCACGCCACGTCATCTTCAATATAAATTCAACTTTTTTCCCAATACAAAGGTAAGATTAGTTGTCAAATAATTTAGACAACGAGAAGGTCTTGATTTTTTTGATACATACTCGCCGGTAACGAGGATTACATCTACTCGGGTGTTAATAGTGTTAGCCGCAGTGTATGGCCTTGAAATCCATCAGATGAACTTAAAGACAACCTTCTTAAATGGAGATTTGGAGGAAGAAATTTATATGGAATAACCTGTAGGGTTCATGGTTCCTGGAAAAGAAAAGAAGGTGTGTCGACTTTACAGACTAAGACAAGCACCCAAACAATAACATGCGAGATTTGACCAAATAACATTGTCAAATGGTTTCAAAAATTAATAAGTGTAAATAAATGTGTTTACGTTAAGAATACTTGAAGTCATAATTCATATAGTCATTATTTGATTATATGCAGATGATATGTTGATGAAATATTTAAAATATGGGGGCTTTTAGCTTATGCATGACAAAAGCCAATGTTAGACGTAATGTCTAAATGATATAATTTTTGAACCCATTGATATAGTAGTTGGTAAATTCATCAGTTGTTTAGTCTTAATGAAGACTAGTTGATGAAACTACTAATTCGGAAGTTGGTCACGTGCCTTTCTCGAAAGATCATTTTCTTTATGGAAAATTTATATTGTTTAGTTCTTTTATGGAATGATGTCACTTTGAAGGTTGTGACTTTTCATAGAAAGATACGTCTGTACGTTTTTGTATGGACATGACCGTTCATGAACGAATGTATTAATATGTTGGTCTATAATGAGGTGAACCAACCGATGAGCATGACCAAAATCCATTGCAAGTTGGATTTGTTTCATGAATGGAGGTGCTATAATTTGCATATCATATAGACATATGAATAAATAACATACAAATGCTTGAAAGTGATGGAGAGATTGATAAATGTGTTATATATTAAAAGGTTGTGGTCACAACTGATGCCAATCATTCCAGCTGTTGTTATAATATACTATTACTACATTAAGTGTAGTCAATAATCTGATATGCAATCGAAAGTCGAGACGTATTAGTCTACAACATAAGGAAGTTTGCATTGAACGTTCATGACAATGAAACGAGTTTTGAAGTATACTTCAAATTATGTTTTGCACTACAATAAGTATCCCGCAATAATAGAGGGGTATAGTGATAAAAATTAGATCACCGGTTCAACCGATTCTAAACAGTCGGTGGATGAGCGATGTATTGGAAATCGTCCAAACAAATGTGCATTGATCGCTCTACAGTGAGGCTGAGTTTATAGCCTTAGAGGAAGGCCGGTGAAGAAGCTGAATGGCTCCGGAATTTCTTGGAAGATATTCTATTTTGGCCCAAACTTTTGGCACCTATATGTATACATTGTGATAGTCAAGCGACAGTAGGAAGGGCTGGGACTTATGTATAATGGAAAATTTTGTCTATTAAGACCGAAGACATAGAACCGTTAGGCAACTACTCTCTAGGGGAATTATCATAATTGACTATGTAAAGTCAAGCGATAATGTGTCGGATCCACTTATAAAAGGCCTAACTAGAAAGGTAGTTGAAAGATCATCGAGGAGAATGTGACTATGGCCGAGGACAAGTTATTGTGGCGGTAACTCTACCTAGAAGACTGGAGATCCTAAGATCTAGGTTCAAGGAGCTCAAACAAAGTCACTAATGACGGTTCAACATTGTCAAATAAAATTTTTTTTGGTCCATTCTCGTGATGAGACAATGTTCAGTACCAAGGATAAAGAGTTACGACTTTTTAATGGTTTCTAAGTTTGATACAGAGTATATCAAATAGTGTATCTACGGGATAACACGTTTAGGAATCACCTATCTAAGTGTGAAGTATAAGCCGCTTCAAGGAGAATTCTGTAAGGCCAGTTCTCTACGCACTTATGAACCAGGTGGTGTTCATGGTTGAAACGAACACAACATGAGAACCAAAGACGGTTAAGGTTTGATTGTGTGACTTATGGTTGTCTAGGTATACACCAAAGCTCGAGGGTTCAAAGATATCAATTCTACCGATTGACCGAGTATATCCGACATAAGTTCACTACGGAAAGTTCAAAGGGAAACCTACTTATCCAGATGCGATTAATCCTTACTTGCGAATCACACTGTATTGTCATGCATGTTTTTACACATATGCCCATTCCCCATTCATGTGGGGGATTGTTGCATTTTTCTTTGAAGGGTGTGAATGGGAAATGGAAGAGGCACCTTTTGGATTGCACCTCTCCATCTCACCCTTCCTTTGTCTATAAATTTAGAGGTTTGCCCTCAATTTTATAACATGGAAAAATCTGAAAATTTCTCCCCTCTTTTCTATTTGCATTATTTTCAAAAAAAAAATATAAGTGTCAAGTGTGATTTGCTCCGTCTGTTGAGTTCGGTGAAATTCTGTAATTTCGATTGCCAGTATTGCAGAATAGTTATTCCGTTCTATCCTGGGAAGAATTAATCCAAAACCTTGGGCAACAGTGAGGGAATTAAATTCCTTAAGGACACACAAGCAACTTGTGGGCTCGGAATTATTTTTTCTGTTTTGTTTATTAAACTAATGTTTCTCTACTTCTCTCTGATTTTCTGATTTTTAACACAGTAATACCAACAAAATACATGTACATATTGAATAAAGGAAATTTGTCCATGATGNNAACCAACACCCAACAACCCAAATGTGACGTACATGCTTTAATAAATATGATCCATTATCTCATACACTTCAAAATAACCAATTCTACACTATAATAAACAACAACTTTTCAAGTAACACACCTCATAAACAGTGGCGAAGTTTAGAAATTTTCTCAAAGGTATTTAAATGTGAATGAAGACCTAGCAAAGGGTGATCAATATATATTATATACCTTTAAAACGTAATATTTTGCCTATAGACATAATGCAATTTTTCAACGAATGGTGGTTAACTCAACCATGTGGCTTCGCCACTACTCATAAAAGAAAAGAAAAGTAATTTACAATTCAATGTAAAAATCATATTAGCACCAAGGGAAGTGGTGAGATGAATATAATTCCATTCATCTCTTGAATCAGAGGTATTGAGATTAAGTAATGAGAGAAAATTCAAACTAAAAAATTACTCCTTTTAATAAATATTATACGACTTAAATTTATATTAATCGAGAATTAATTGGGGCTTCAATGATGATATTAAACACCACAAAAGGCATGATAACCAAATTTATATCACTAGGAGTCTTGGACGATCATTATTAATTTATTACTCCATATAATACTACCTCATTTATTTTGCCACGCTAAGAGAAACAGAAAAAAGGAAATATAGGGTTTAAAGGGAAAAAATGAGAGAAAAAATATCTTTTACCAAACGGCTTTTTTTTTCTAATTGTGTGGTCTTTGGCTGAAATCTCCGCGACTGAAATCTCTCTCTCTCTCTAGATTATCTCATATTCGCTCGCTCGCTTTCTCCACCATTGGCTTATCCTTGCTTCTTGAGTGCTCCCTAATTTCTCTGAATTTCGAAACTCTTCCTGAGACAATCGCAGCTTTGAATGCGAATCTTTTGATTCCTTTCATTCGCTGTGATTTTACTGTACCATTACTCTCCGGCGGAATATGTTTATTTATCTTCTTCATCTTTGTGTTCCCAGACGAATGAGCTTTTGTCACAGTTGGCTTGATTTTCACCTCAAAGCTCAATGAGTAGTTCGTGCACCGATGCTTTTGAATAGACATGGCTTCTGCTACTTCAATGTCAGGTAGTTATTACGTTTATTAATTTCATTTCAATGGTTGCGTGAATAGCGTGTTAGTGAATCAATACACCTTAATTGCAAAGTAGTCGCGCTCAGGCTATATAAATTATGTAATTTTGTTCCAATTCGTTTCATTCCACTGCTAAATTATTTGTATTGTGATAAGGCAGTAAAGTCTTTTTCTAACTGGAGGTTCACTACATCTACTATTCACAATTTCCCGTGGAAAACAGTGGAGCTAACGTGAATAATGTGTTAATCTTGTATTTATTTATTTTAATTGGATTAGTTATATACACTGACAGGGTGATGATTTTATAAACCATCAGCTGTTATAGCAGGTTATTTACCATTTATCTATTTTAGGTTACCTATCAATGCCATTAAATAGAGTTACATGCAATTAAATTTAAATGACCTGATTGTGTAAATGTTTATTACGCCGTCAGTGAGTAGAACTTAATCTCTTTTTAATTTTGCAGTTTCTATTGAATGTGTGAATATATGTAAGTCTTGGAAAGGAGATGTGGGTGGGAGATTCGACTGTAGTGTGCTATCTTGTGCCTGGAAGGCGCCAAGGGCCTTGACTGGGTTCCTTGCCAGCACAACTCATCCTTCTCAGTGTTCCTCTACTCCTTATAGGCGATATGGAAGAAGAAATCGTCTCCACCGATGTGTAAGTTTTTACTCACCCTGCAACTTACACTCTTTGAAATTATTCACATTGAGTTAAGAAAATTTTATGTCCAAAAAGCTAGCTTTAGAGGCTTTTCTGCCTTGCAATTTACTAAAACTTGTTGGACATTCACGTTTTGCCTGTGGCTAGTAACCTGTTTGTGGTTCTTTATGTTGATGCGTAACTTGATCTATGGAACATGTAGAAGAATATGAGAGTCCAGTTCAAAATTTAAGGTATTTATTGGAACGACACAACAGTAATATAAACCCCCTTGAATGCCTTAGATACCTGGTGTAGAACGTTCTTATATAGCTCAACACCCTCTCTGACACATGTAATCCAATTTTGGGGTCACATGTAGACTTGGATGCAGATTTTACGAGCGTGAGATGAACTTACTAAAAGTTGAATATACTAGTTAAAAGAATTTCAGTATCCAACTTGAAACTTTAAGGCAATGATTCAATAACTCAATATCTTATAGATACCTTTGGATGTCTTTATATACCCGATGTGGAACTCTTTTCTTAACTCAATAGAATAGTTCATATTCTTGTTAGAATATCTGTAAATTACGTATAGTATTCGGTAAGAAGATTAGTTTGTGAGATTCTTATTCTTTAGTTAATTAGAGGAGGTTGACTCAGAGAGCTTGACCTCAGTCTTCATGATATGTTTCATAATTTAAGTCGAGATACTTCTTGCTTTGCCTTCCTCATTCCTTCCTCCTATTATCTAAAAACATTATGTGCAGCAAGCTATAGAAGTTTTTAAGGAGTTTTTGTTTTTTACAATGGGGGTGTCCGGGCCAGCTTGTGTGCGCCTTGACTATTCCACCAGGTACTTGCAACCTCCCAAGTCCCACCTTTACAAGTACCGGGTAATTCTAACCACAAGGACTTAGATAGATGGGGAAAAATCACTTAGCATTTTTTGCTTATGTTGGGATTTGAGCCATGGTCTCCAGTTTGTTAGAGAGATCTCTTTCATTTTATTTCTTGTTTGTTGAAGCAAGGGCACTCTTTAGAGCATTAGAGAAGATTGAAGATTATTTCTGATTATCGAAATGCCTTCAGTTTGATTTCCTTGCCTGATGAATAACCCTTTAGCAATTTCCTTGGCTGATGAATTAACATTTTCACCAGTTATGTCAACACCTAATAAATCACATCTTTAATAGATTCTGGATGATGCCCTCAATTGTGTCTAGTGCAGCCTTTGGGTTTGTTCAGTTTATACCTAACTAAGGCTTGATGAATGAGGTAAAAGGTGGGAGGGTCTGTAGCGACAACCGATAAGAAAAAGAATAAGTTGTCATGATCGCCCCCTTCCTCACTAAAAAGAAATAAGAAGTAAAAGAAAGAAAATTCTGTGTCTTGAAAATGTCTTTTCTTGGTTATAGAGTTTCAATGGACTTCAAAAGCGTGGAATGGTACAAAGAATTCATATACTGACCCCAACTAATCTAGAATTGACTTGTAGTTGATTGAAAAAAGTATCAAAGTTTAATGGTGCTACAACATCTGCTCTTCTTCAATACTTGTAACTAACATAGCCTAGTACGAAATGCCATAGACATGCATATAGTGACGCATTAGAAAAATAAAAATTGTGTTCTGGTGGCAAATACATGGATAGGCCGTCAATTTTGGACTGTATCAAGTTTCTCGAGACCCTTTTCTCCTGAGGTTAGTCAGTCAGCACAAGTTTAAGCTTGATCCATATGGCCTTTTTTTGGATGTGCTTACTTATTTATACATGTATTTTGTGAAAAGTCATGCATGCAAACAGCGCAGGCTTATAGCTGGTTTCTTGAGAAGCAATAATTATATCTTTTACAGTCTTTCACCTGACTAGATTTTACTTGTGGCAGAGATGTTATACTTCTGATATGGATGAACGCTACTCTGATGAAGCTCTGCAAGGAGTCCCTGGCTCAAGGCTTCTACTATCTACTTCTAGCAAATGGAAATTATGTTGCTCTTTATCATTTTCTTCAGAGTCTTGTGAAGAGATATCTCCTGAAAGTTTGTGGGAGGTTAGTGATCCTCCAGCTACGAAGTCATCTCTGATTCCTGGCATCATTAACGAAAAGTCAAAACTTGTTGGTTTTATTCATAAATTGGCTTGCCTAAACATCATAGCTCTCTCATGATAGAAAGATTATGAATTGTGATTATCAGTTGCCTTTGGAAATTGAGAAGCATTAAGCACCAGTGCGTCTCAGCTGTGAATAAGCAAAATTTCTCTGGCAGGAAAGAAAATGGAAAATCCTATTGACTCAAATATCGCTAGATATCCTAATTAAAATGGAAAAGCCCGAGCCTATCTCAGAACTGCTAATTCCACATTCTACTAATTGTTTTTGCTTCCATACATAAAACTTTCAATACTTTCAATATTGAATCTACTGCAGCTGGTGTCTCTTGTGTGCATTTCTTTCTACATAAATTTGGACGAATTCATGTTCCTTCTGAAATTGATTAGTTTTGTATTTGTGAATCGTTTTTGAAAGATACAGAATGAATTCTCACTTCTAAGTGCCTGATTTTTATGCTCATTTGCTAATATCAAGTGTCTGTTATTGTTAGTATACTGAGCCGAGGGTCTATCAGAAACGGCCTCTCTACCTTCAAAAGGTAGGGGTAAGGTCTGCGTACACACTACCCTCCCCAGATCCCACTTGTGGGGTTACACTGGGTTTGTTGTTGTTATGTTAGCATCTAACTAATGTTAATTATCTGTTTCACAGGATCTTACACCTTCCATTTCATATCTTTCTTACAAGGAATTGGAATTGGTTCGCAAGGCTTTGGATGTAAGTATATTCCCGTATAATCAGCATAATTGATCTTTTCCTCGGCTTTGATTTCCTTTCTCATCACTTTCTTTTGTTGCAAGATAAAACATCTGTTACAAATATTTGGCATGCCATAATCTCCAACTAAATCAGAATAGCTGAAAAACCTGTCTGATGTACTGATTATTATTACAGCTTGCTTTTGAGGCACATGATGGCCAAAAGCGTCGTAGTGGAGAGCCCTTTATTATTCACCCAGTTGCAGTTGCACAGATCCTTGGACAGCTTGTAAGATGTGCGCAACTATTGTACTTTCCTGGCTCAGAAGGCATAAACTGAGTTTGACTTTTTTCCTTTTTCTTTTTGAGGAATTGGATTGGGAGTCAATTGCTGCTGGGTTATTACATGATACTGTGGAAGATACAAATGTAGTTACTTTTGAAAGAATAGAGAAGGAATTTGGTCCAACAGTTCGGCGTATTGTTGAAGGGGAGACTAAGGTAGTTCCTCAGAAGATACAGAATCTTCTTCTTCTTCTTTTTCTTCTTCTCCTCCTCCTCCTCTCTCTCTCTCTCTCTCTCTATATATATATATATATATTATATATATATATATATATATATATATATCGTTTATTTGTTTGCTTAGGTAAACAATTAAAAGAAATTTGTTCCTTTTGACGTAAATGGGATTGATGTGTTAGGTATCCAAGCTCGGAAAGATCAAGTGCAAGGATGAAAGCCATGTGCAGGATGTCAAAGCTGATGACCTTAGACAGATGTTTCTTTCCATGACGGAGGAGGTAATGCCCCTGTTTACTTGTACGGATTTCGTTACTTTCGTAACAGTCCCTTGTTTAAAATGCTTCTGTTTCAGGTCCGTGTTATAATTGTAAAATTGGCTGATAGATTACATAATATGCGCACTCTTTCACATATGCCTCCACACAAGCAGGTATATGTACGTCTTAATTTTTTTTATCCGTCTCTGTCTAATCTCTAACAATCTTGCTACTTTCCTTCCTTTCCAGTCTGGCATCGCAACAGAGACGCTGCATGTTTTTGCTCCTTTGGCAAAACTTCTTGGAATATACCAAATCAAGGTGTCTCTTTAGCTTCTTTAAAACTCTTAAATGCTTTAATGTGCCTAAGATATATTGTACCTAATTTAAATTTCCTTTTCTTCCTCCCTTCCTTCCAGTGGCTGGTTGTCTGGCCCTCAGAACTGTATAGTTAGTTGTTGATGTACATGGACGTCTCGCATTTTCTTAACCCTTTTTCTGAAATTGCTTAATGATAATAGTACTCGTACTCATTATCAGTGATATGTGATCATATTAATATTGGCATCTCGAGTTTGGAAGCTCTTCTGCAAAGAGACCTATGATGCAGCTGATTAAGTGATTTTCATTTTAGCCCTCTCTTGATCTATTTTGTCCTCTATTAGCCTTCTTTATCCTAGATGGACCTGTCTTTTTCTTTTGTCTAGTGAGAGAATTGGGGCTGGGTGGGGCATTTCTCTGGAAGCTACCTAAGAGGCTTTGAAATGTTGTGGTTTACTGCCACTTGTTTCATTATGTACAGTTTCTTTTCCTCTAAATTATGGTTTTATATCTGCTTAGTTTAATGAATATTTGACTTATCATCATGCAGTCAGAACTTGAAAACTTAGCATTTATGTATACAAATGCTCAAGACTATGCCAGGGTCCAGCGAAGAATTGCAGAACTTTATAAAGAACATGAAAAAGAACTCAAAGAGGTATCTATACCTCACCCTTCTAAAACCTAATTACTTATAATGCTCAGAAGACCTCTGTCATCCAACCACCCATGCTGCGACATGCAACTGTTAATTATAAGCAGAGAACATTATCTGTTATCACGGTGATGTTTATTGAAAGTCGTACATAGTTATCAGTTCACCTTTTTCTAAATGCGTCTTTTCTTCCCTTAGGCAAAAAGAATATTGATGAAGAAAATAGAGGAAGACCAATTCTTAGACCTCATGACGGTGAAGACTGAAATTCATTCAATATGCAAGGAACCTTACAGGTGCGCATATGCCAATATCCTGGTCCTAAGTTCATATTTATTTTGTTGTTTATTGCCTGTCCTGGCAGTCATACATTTTTTTTTCTTTTGAGATTCTCTTTGTTTGGTATTAACGTTTTTAGTGGCGGGTTATCACAACCTCAAAGGAAATACAAATTCCAATTTAGCTTGATGCCTACCTAATTAGTTGCTCTACTATCTGCCTAATAAAAAACGTTGCTCTACCATCTGGTTTACTTAATTAGCTGATAAATTGCTGATTAATGACGCATAACCATTTTACCAGCACGTTGTCTTTCTTCCCCAAAGCGTGGAACCTCTTCTTATTGTCGTTCCGCCTATTGCTTGTAAATTGTTTGGGATCTAGGGAATATTCAGTTTGGACTCACAAGTACTTTTCTCCAATTTCTTTCCATACCTGGGGGGAAAAAGTATGTTAATTTTCTGCTCTACTTTCAGGCTGTTGTGATCTTGTTTAATTTGTTGTAATTTTTTTCACGTTTGGAGTTTCTAGTCCACATAGTATGAGAAGGTTGAATTGCTAGATCTATTCCTGCTTATTCCAAATATAGGCACGGCCTTTGAGTAATAGTGCATATTTTCCAAAAGCAAAGCTATAATGGAAGTTCTCGGTTCTTCTGATCTTTAAATTTTATTTTTTAATTCACACCTGAAATGTGCCCCTTTTGGTAACCTATACATACATATTTTATGGTTGCGATGGTGAATGTTTCCTCAGCCAGCTTTTGTGATTCTTATCTGCAGCATCTACAAAGCAGTTCTGAAATCTAAGAACTCGATAAACGAAGTGAACCAAATTGCGCAGGTCCTCTTTTGTTGTAAGCTTGATTGATTTGATAGAAGATGCTGTGTTGTGTGTAAGGTTGTATATTAACTTTATATTCTTGGATTGACAGCTTCGAATTATTATAAAACCAAAGCCTTGTGTTGGAGTTAGGCCCCTTTGCAGTGCACAGCAGGTAACATGTTATGAAGATGCAGATACCACTTCCTTTTTTGAAGTTGAATACTTTGTTAGGTTTTACCACAATTTTAGTGGTTTATAACATATATTGTTCAAGTTCAAGGGGGTTATAATTTGGATACCTTTGACCAGAACATCGGGAAGAGAACAAGTGGGCACACAACTTGTGTATTCCCAGCGTTAAGATAAAAGTGGGTAATGGCGGTGTCTAATTTTGTTACTGGAATACTGCGCGTTCAGTAGGTGTTTTGTGTCATTAATTTTTGCTTTAAAATAAGACCAGTTAGTAATGTCTTATACATCATATAGATTGGTCATTAATGTCTTATACATCATATGCTTTGTGGTCAGCTCATTCGACAGCGACGTCAATGAGGAATGTTTAACCTACCTTATTAAAAAAAAAGATTGGTGCCTAAGTTTCTATATTAATTTGGATATTAATCAGAAAGATTGCTGCACGATGCATCAAATTCATATTTGAGTCAATACCAAAACTTGCACCTCTTTCTGTATAACGCATAGAGATGCCTCTTAACATATTTTTCCTCTATAGATATGCTATCATGTGCTTGGACTTGTACATGGAATTTGGACGCCTATCCCGCGGGCTGTAAGTATTGCATAATATATCTGCATCCCTTATTCTTGTGATATGCTAATGGATTTTGATCGCTCTATATGTATCATTTTGCAACAGATGAAAGACTACGTCGCCACTCCAAAGCCTAATGGCTATCAAAGTCTTCATACAACAGTGATCCCATTTCTTTATGAGAGCATGTTTCGTTTGGAAGTTCAGGTACATTCATGGCACCTCCCAGAACTTATGAACAACGAAGATATCAGTTACTCCTTCTATACCAATATTTATGACACACTTTCATGTTGGAACATCCAAGAATGTTTGACAGCATTCTATTTCCACACAAATTTTCAAGAATTCAAATACATTAAACTATTCAAATCTTAAAATTTACTTCAATGTTTCCTGTATCAGAATATATATATATATA